CCGGCCATGCGCACTTGCTCATTGTGCGATTAGGTTCACTATACCGTCATCTTCGATATTGATTTCGGCTGGCAATAGGAAAACATCAGGTCTGCTTCTGTGCCACCTTTGCTGCTTTGGATGATCATGGCGAGCAAAGCTCAGGCTGGAAAGTCCAGTTCAAAAGTAGGAATGAGCTTTCTTCTCGCATGGAGGGCATTTATCAACGACAGACAGACGAAGTCGCAATGGCAGGAGAGCCAAAGCGATATATTCTTGCTCTGCTCATAAGGTGCTTAGCTTGCAGCAGCACTTGTAGACTGTAGTCGATAACACCTAGCACCCAGTAACATGGTCAAATGTCTATCCCGGAGCACCAAATGACCCTCTAGACATACCTGGGGACGAACGTGAGAACACAGGCGCGCAGACTATGCGTACGAGACTGCCTTGTGTGTCCTGTATGCGACTCAATGAAACTGCTTGGGCATCTGGTGTATGCACGCGAGTCGCACAGGCAGGCAATGACTGCTATGTCCGCCGCTCGCCAATACCAACGTGTGAATATCAATCACAGTAGGCCTGATAATATGTGGCCGGTATCGAGCGAATCATCCTCAGACTATCCACATCAGCAAAATCTCAAGTTATCTTAACGCGTCTTATTTACCTTTATGGGACTTGTCAGCGTCTTTTTGCTTCATTAGCGCCCAATCAGTACCCCAAAAGGCAAATAAGACGTTATCAGTCAAATTAAGATTTTACTGATGCAGCGAGACCATTGATATACTTATTGGAGCGTTGGCGCAGATTTTGGATGAAAGAGCCTGACAGCCATAGCAGCTAGACACCTGATTGAACTGGGATGTCGGATCATGGATGCCCCGGCCTGACACGCCGAATGAGACCCGCGAGGCTCAACGATCCCACAGACCGGAAGGAACGCTTCCGCTCCCGCGAACCTATCTTCCGAGACGACGTTCGTATCACCAATCAAGCAGTAGGCAGCTTATCACTTTCCAGTTGGGGAAGGGCGACGTACCCCGTGATGCAAGATCTACACCCCGATAAAGCAACGGCGAGCATTGCTACATATCGTCATCGCTGTTGTTCGAAAGAAATTCAAGAGAGTCCCGCGTTCCCTATGGCCCAGGACATATACATTAATGCCCGTAGTCTAGAATGTCCTTGGTCTTCGTCCTCCGTCCACAGCAATCGTGTAGTTCGACTGCCGATCGCGTCGTGTAAACATGTCTTCATTCAGGGCCCTTCCCCCTCCGCCAAAGACGAGACTTGGTAGGCGTCGCCAGCTCAGCGCTCGGGCAGGTGTCAAGGTTTCACCCATCTGCCTTCGTGTGATGAGCACTGGTGATAAGTGGGCTGCCCAAGGAATGGGCTCCATGGACAAGGAGAGTAGCTTCAAGTTGTTCGACGCGTTCTACGATGCTGGAGCTAACTTTGTCGACACTGAGAACAACAACCAGGATGAGTCCTTTGAGGAGTTTTTCGGCGAGTGGATGGTAGGGGGAGGTGTCCGTGATCAGATGGTCATCGCTACTACGGTGAACTTAAACCACGTACGTGAAAAGCGCTTGGCAACGATTCGATCCGCCTTGCATGACCTTGCAGTTCACTACGAACTTCAAGCGCGCTGCCGAGATGCCTCAGAAAACTCAGTTCGGTGGCGACAACGTGAAGTCGCTGCATGTCTCAGCGGAGGCATCCTTGAAGAAATTTTGCACTGATTACGTCGTTGTACTCTGCGTTCACAAGGTAAGTGCCCGCTAAGACGATCATACGTGGGAATAGAACTAATAAAACTGCTATGTTAGTGGGATTTCGACATTACCGTGGAGGAAGTCATGGGTGGTTTATATCATCTCGTTGCTGCACGCAAAGTCCTTTCTTTGGTAAGTACCTACACCGCGCTGGAATGTCATTACTGTACTGAGGCGTAGCTGGAGAGTGTGTCGGATACACACGCTTGGGTTGTATCGAAAGCGAACCAGTATGCCCGCGACCATGGCAAAGCACCGTTCGTCATCTACCAGGGAGCCTAGAACATTATGCAGCGCGACATGGAGCGCGAAATCATCCCGATGTGCCGCGCAGAAGGTGAGAACAACTTGTCGCTGCTCCGGATCAGTGATGTTGAGCACCTCACTAGGATTGGCTCTCGCTCCTTGGAACGTCTTGACGGGTGGCAAGATCAGGACTGATACAGAGGACAAGAAGCGGCGCCAGACGGGCGAGAAGGGACGTACTATCTAATTGTGAGCGTACTCCGGAGGAACGAAAGGTCTGTCTTGCGCTCGAGGAAGTCGCAAAGTAAGTGGGCACGAAGAACATTACGTCTGGTAATGTCTACAATCCCCGTTAAAATGGCACCCTTCACTAACATTGTGGGTGCATTAGTGGCCATCGCGTATGTCATGCATAAGACATCATGTGTCTTCTCGATCATCGGCGGGCGCAAAGTTGAGCATCTCATGGACAACATCGCGGCGCTCAGCATTGCTCTATCCCCCGAGCAGATCCAGTACCTCGAAGGCATCGTTCCCTGCGCAACTGTATTCGACATTATAAGTAAGCTTGTGCGGTTTCTGCACATGAATCTATATGTCACAGGTCAATTCGTGAGATGCACAGGCCCAAATCATTCCCGCGCGTGTCAGCTTGACGACACTAGCTTCATTATACTAGTCAACTGCATCCCGTGCATCGTTACGTTGTTGTTCCTCGTAATCTCGCGCAAGCTTTCTCGGATTAGCTGCAAGGACAAATACGTCAACGAGCTTCGACGCACCTCGCTGAACTTCTCCCGATCCCAGTGCCTTTGAACCTTGTCAATTTCTCGTTCGGGAATCCACCACTCGAGAAAGGCAAAGAACAGACAGTCAACGAGGAGGATGATCGCGAAGATCGGGCCTACGAACGTCCCAAGATCGAGTGTGCGGCGCATCCGCGTCCAGAAGTCGTACGACGGCGTCTCGAATACCGTCTGGTACACACGTTCAGTGCGCCTGGCAACTTCCGCCCAATCGTAGAACCCCTTGACGCGTTCGTAAGCCTGGATAGGGTCGTGTTTCCCCGCTGATACAACGCCGATCGCCTCCGACATGGCCCGCACCACGTCTGAACGTGCACATCCAACCGAAGTTTGGTGAACATACGTTATGATTCGAGATAGCAAGAGGCGCACCGTCCTCGTCCGGGTTGGAAAATGAGACCATATCCGCCGGGAGTACCTCGGGTACACCGCCCACACGCGTTGAAACGACGTACAAGCCTGCACTCGCAGCCTCGAGGATTGCGATCCCAAAGGCTTCGGTTAGCGACGTGTTCAGGAAGATTGATCCGCGCGCGAGGACCTAACCGAGGGGTCAGCACGCAAGACTGAGGTCACAATAAACGAAAATAATGTCGTGTCTGCACTGAACTCGCACCTTGCTGGCGTCGCTGTGCCGTATGGGACCGAGCATCTCGATACGGTCCTGCAACAAATTCTTCTCCCTCATCTGGAGGATGTCAATGAGTTTGGGTCCATCTCCACCTAATAAACCATGGCCAACATCAACTGACGGCTGTGAGATAAAATGCGGAACGGGTCATACCGACAACAAAGCGCACGTTGGGGAATTTGGAGCAGATACGTGGGGCTGCAGCGACGAGGAGGTCGATGCCCTTCCTATATGCGAGACGAGACAGGACAACGATTGTAACTACAGAATCAGATGTGGGCGTGAGGAGGGCGCCGTTAGCGGAAGCACGAAATAACAGGAGCACGACGTACTGGTATCTGATGGGCCGGGTGTGGTGGTATCTGGAGCAGGCTTGAACTGCTCGGCGACAATGGCATTTGGTATCACGTACACTCTGCTGGGACGCAGGCGTGCGCGTAGGACGGTGTTCTCGCGTCTAGCGTCCCGCATAAGCAGTGCACAAGCTGGTCATGCGGTGCAGACCTACCCCGTATGAGAGACACAGATCGCAGCATCCACGTTCCTTAGTGTCGCCTCCAAGAGCTTGTTGGTCAGAATGCTCGCCGCGTCGTCGAAGCCAAACAGACTGTGATCTGTGAAAACCGTGCGCACACCCATGTGGTGGGCATGTAGGATGCCCTCGTGCCCAAGCGCGGACAGACTTGCATGTGCATGAATCAGTTGGATATTCTCCCGTAGGACGATGCTACGCAGGTAGGGTAAAAAGGTTAAGAAATTCGGGAGCGTAGCAGAAGAGGCGATGGTCGGAAAGGGAATGTAGTAGACCTTGAGGCCGGGGAGCAGCCAGCGAATGCCAACCCGGTCGGGTGGGTGGCTATGAGTGATGACGATCACCTAGCAAGGGAGCCATTCAGCATATCGAAGGAATCGTGCACGGGATTGTCCTAAACCCGGCTCCCATAACACTTGTCACTTGAGCACTGCACTGCTCATACACGCATGGTCCACACACTTCACATACAACCTGAGGGCTCGAAAGGACTGACTCCAATGATACAATATTCGATCTACGACCGCCAGGTTTGCTGCATGACTGAGACAAAAGGTCCTGCACAGTGCTCGTGCCAGCCGTCAATACGCATCCACGGGGAATTGGACCGTGCACACGACTGGTATACACATAGCTCATTGGGGCCAGGATTGCAAGCACTGACCGACACTGCGCGACCATCGCGCATACTCGGAGGCATAAAAGTCACGAGTGTAACATATGCTTACTTTATGTCCACGACGCAAGAGGTTCGCACTGAGCATATAGATGTGATTCTCCACCCCGCCGACATTGGGGTGGAAGAAATCGCACACCATCCTGGACATGACACGTCAGTTCGGGCTATTGCAGTGGCCTCATGCTCTTACGCTATGTTGACTGGCTCCATGTGGCTACATGTTCATACAGACAGTCTCAAAGACATCATTTCATGCTGGGAAGTGTCGAGAGCAGCTGGAAGCTGTGTAAGAGCGTTAGTACCTCTCGTCTCGAGGGTCGGAGGGCAATACATGGCACATTATGTCATCGGTTCAATGGTGTAGTTGGTTATCACGTCTGTCTCACACTGCAACACTAGTTGAAGTCGTCGGTCACAGGAGGTCTCCGGTTCGAACCCGGGTTGAACCATTTTTGGTTTCATCATATCCTTTTTTATCCTTTCCGCCTATTGAACTATCGCGACTGTGAAGTTGTCTACTAAGTAGGATGCATTCGTCTCTGGTCATCAAGATGTGTGTATGGTTCCGATATTGATTACGCAAATGTGTTGCATGTGCTAAGTCGTCAAGAAGGCTGAGTGAAAAGGCCGAGCACCGTCCGAGTCCGAGGTCATAACTAATACAAACAGCTCCAGCATGTGTGCACCGGGGTATCACTGCGCTGAATCCTCCAGCGGATACTCCACCTCCTCCTTTAGCTCCTCTTCCAAGGCATGTTGTCCAGCAGCAGTGAGCGAGGGGACGCCCGAGCTGAAGTCGCTCTCAAAGTACTTGGGGATAAAGCTAGGGGTCGAAACGTGTATCAGCGTCCGCACACACATAAAGGCAGCCAAGCTAGCGTGACTTACGCGACACCCTTCCGCTTCCTCTCCGCCGCATCGTCCCTCTGCTTCTGCTCAATCGCTTGTTTGTGCTTCGTCGCCTCGCTGTACTCCTTGCGCAAGAGCCGGCTCGTCACGCTGTCCCATAGGCGCCGGCTCTCGTCGGGGAGCTGCCGCTCGAGGGGGCGCACTGACTTCGGGATAACATGCAATGTGGATAGATCGAGCAGTGTGGCCCAGTCCGCGTCCGGGGTGTCCGCACGACGCCAGCGGATGTTTCCGCGCCACGAACCGTCGAACACGGCGCGCACGCGGTACCGAGGGACGTGCTTGATGCGCGTCCATTCGTTGTGCTGGGTCCCGCTGGGGTCGTACGAATGGATCACACCCTCGATCAGGAACTGGGCTCTACCGAGCCAGCTCTCCTCCTTGTACTCGATGATCGCGCGCAACTGCTCGCCGTCGCCCGGGCCCGTGCAGGTGATGATCGTCGACTCGCTCAAGCTCACGTAGAAGGAGCCGCGGAGGATGCCGTTGACCGACGCAGCGGGGTGCGTGACGTGGTACCCCTCGCCTTCACCTGGCCCGCCGGTGATGCGCACGAATAGGCCCTTGTTGTATGACCCAGGTGTCACCCGCACTGCCGTCCCGCTCACCTTTGCCGAGATCTGATCGATGCCTGTGAGCTCGAGGGATCGGCTCGGGCACCGCACAACGAACGCCGAGACAGGTGGATGATGCGAGACCTGTTCGGTGAGGAAGGCAATACGGACGCGGGGGCGCGCAGCCTCCACGGTGTCGTCCGTCTCCAGTACTTCCGCAGACCCAGCTTCTGCTAGGCTGAGATTCGACAACTCTGCTTCAGGATTGCTCTCGACGAGCTCCGGGGATGTGGCGGGGGTACTGCGCCCCGGGGTGGAGTATCCGCGCGATGTGAGGCTCAACATGCTCATGGCACTCTTGCTGCTCATGCCGCTCCTGATGCTTGCCGACTCGGACCGCGAAATGGCAGCAGGAGCAGACACAGATGACTCCGCTGCCGTAGGGGAGACGTAGAGGTGCGGGATTGGCGGCTGAGATGGGTCCGAGGGATATGTAACAGGGATGACATCCCAGTGCGAGCGGAAGTGCTCGCCCAGCACTGAGTTGTATGGCTTGCATACTTTGCCGCGCTAACAATCGATGAGTGACGCCAAGAGGTCATGACACCGTGAACTCACGATAAACTTCAGGTCCTTGGTGAAGGTGAACCTGAGTACAGCGAGCATACGTTCAAACGGGTCCTCCGAGTCATTGATACTGCACGTAGATGTGAGACCAACTCTCTAGTTGCACGCTGGACCCACTTACGCGGCGAACAGATCGGGCCTGTCGAGATAATGCCAGTACTCCAGATTGGGAATGGGTTCGAGCAGGGACGCAGGGAGAGACAGACGCCTATAGAACACGGTGGATCAGCGAGTGATGCGAGAGCATCTTCATCGCTGCTCACATAGTAGCAATGTCCTTGACCCCAAGACACTTCTTGACCAGCTGTATGATCATCTTGAGCTTGCTGCTCTCGCCAGCGTCTCCGGTGTCAGGAACAGAGACGGCCTGCGCGGGCTCATCATCGACCTGCTCGGGCGTTGCTTCGTGTTCTGAAGGAGCCATCTATGCGACAGAGGTTGCGGAATGCCAGCCGAGGGTATCGAGAAAGAAGTGGTATATCGTCTATAACGCCGCGCTGCGCTACAAAGACGATGACGGAATGAGCAAGGGAGAACACGACGAGGTCACCAGCTAGGAGGCGTAGTGAGAGGTCTACTGAAAGGGAGCAAGTCCGATGACACGATGTCGAGGAGGTCGCACCTGGTCACACACCTGGACGAACGTTGGTAATGGCGAGTGCACCCCGCTTATGGGGCGGCAACAAAATGGAAGCTGCCACTTCAAGGCGGTACCGGTCGCGCCACCCGCCGCCAAGCCGACAATGCACAGCAGTAAAAATGGTCCCGGCCGGGATCGAACCAGCGACCGCCTGTGTGTAAGACAGGTATGATAACCACTACACCACGAGACCGTTGTAACGTAGTTCAATGTATCCGCTGTCGATCCTGCATGCTCGACCATCACTATCCAGCGGTGAGGGGCAATCTCGCAAATGGCCTCTAACGACACACCTTACAGACAAAGTGCAAGTATTACCGAGGTTAGTAGCAACGATTAGTTGGACCGAGAAAGCTAGTATGATGTTGGCGCAAAGAAATTAATTGCGGCTCTGGATGAGAGAGGAGCTGAACCTTCAGTGAGAACTTGGGAGGGTGGAGAAAGAAGGGGAATAGAGGGCCGACACGCAACAACTGTCTTTATATCCTCCAGACTGCCCTACGATCGAGATCTAAATCTCTGCAAGAAAGACATGGATGATGTCAACAGAAGCAGCAGTGATTGGGCCCATCGAGATGGCTTCTCAGATGTCAACAGAGCTGCCCAATCTAGCAGGTGTCTTACTAAATTGGGGTGGGAAACACCACAGAGCAGCTGAGAGTACTTGCACAATCGCTTGTCACAGGACCAACATAGGTCAAGTTGAGCGAATTACGATGCTACGCCCAGAGCTTACAACAGTAACCGTCCCATACAAGTAACTCCAATAAATGAAACCAACATCAGATAAGCATAGGCGGTCGTACGGTCAGTTAGGGTTTCGTATCAGTATAATGGGGAAGCAAACTCATGCGATCACGGATACAACCGAACTACAGAACGTAAAGTAGAAGGATCGACTTCGGAGAGTCACAGGGTGCGATAAGATGAGCAAGCCAGGAAAGCCATCTCTAGGATTACAGACTGCAGGAGGTAACATCAGGAACAGTCAGGCAAGGGTCTCAAAGGTCAATCATACCAGATTTTTTTGTGAACACCTCACTTTCCCCATTCAAGACTGGCCGGCCGAGGGCCTATCAGGCATCAAAATGTGCACCGGCCTCATGTCCCCAAAGCTCGACTTGTGGTTAAGTTCCGGCAGACGCAGCTCCTCTCCCAAGGTTCCATGCAAGTTCGAGCTAGAGGCCGCCGGGCTGTCATCGAGGCCTGCCTGGTACAGCGGCGAGTCCATGCTGCTCATTGTGCTGTAGCTCCCGGGCTCTGCATCCGTGGGGACATACGCGGGGACAGGCTTGCGCACCGCCGCGCGGCGCTGGCCACTGGACGAGGATCGGTTGACGGGAAGCATTTCCGCTGACATCGGCGAAGCCTGCAGGCGACCCGCGGGAGGCGCCTCGCCCGCAAAGGCGAGCGAGCTCTGAGATTGCTGCGATGGGTACGACTGGTGCGACATATGCCCACGGACAGAGCTCTGCAAACTGGCATGCGGGGATGCAGCGGGATCGAGGGTGATGGTGCGGTCATGGCTGGACAGTGAGGTATGTGCGCGGGTGAGCGAGCCGGACGAGCCGCCAATGCCGACGACGGACTGCGGAACGCTCGGCATGGACCCAGACGCGCGGCGGTAGGTGTAGTACGCCGTCGGCGGCGCGTGCTCGACGACTTGCCCGTGCCCGCTCGAGTTGGTGCTAACCTTGTCCTCCTCCGTCAAAGTTGAGAGGTCCTCCCGGGAGAGGAACATCGCAGGCGCAACGCCCGCGACTCCGGCGGCTGTCTGCATCGGCGGGATGTGCCCGATGACGCTGTCCCTGGCCGACATTGGAAGTATGGAACCCACGGAGTCTGTCTGCCCGCGTCTTCCCTGCCCGGTATTGCCACCCATCGGATGAGAGACCAACACGCCAGTGTCCATTCCGGAATCTCTGGACGATAAGCCATTCCACCTCCCATATGCCTTCTTCCCGCCGATGACGCTACTTGCGCGTTGCCGAGAGCGGGCAGGCGATCGCTTGCACAGACCAAGGAAGAAGATTGCCGCAGCAGCCGCAGCGATGATCGCAACGCCACCGATGACACCTCCGGCGATGGCCCCCGTATGAGACTTGGTCGAGGCGTCAGATACGGGAAGTGGTGTGACGGATGAGGAGGCCGATGATGTAGAGGAAGAAGACCCCGTCGACACAGGCAACTGGTCCGTGCCAGATGACTGGGAGTTCACACCTGAAGGGCCCGACACGGAGGATGATGAAGATGGACCAGAGGTTGAAGACGATTGTGCACTCGCAGAGGATGCGGGAGCAATGCATGTTACGACAGTGCCAAGCGCGACGTCGAACTGCTGAGTGTCTAGCATCGCTGACGACGTGAAGGCTTCTATCACATACTGGCCCGGGGGTACATTTGGATTGGTCCAGTTGTATTGCAAGCTGTCCGTGTCAAGGCCCATAGCAATTGTCTCGGAAAATTGCGAGGATGACGAGGATCCGCCTCCAGAAATGTCGGGAGTAGGGGCGTGGTTGATCGTCACATTCAAGGAAAATCCCTCACTTGGTCCACTGTATGTCCACGTAAACGTTATCGGAGTGCATGTCATGAATAGCGTCGTCAACGCGTCGAACGCGAAGTTCGGCTGAACGGGCATTGGCCCGCCTACTGATAAGGGGGTGGTCATGCTACTTGAAACCGACGAGGAGGGAGAAGGACTTGGTGAAGGGCTAGG